CAGAGGAGAGGTGAGCGAGTTAGGCAGCGGCAGCAGGGAGGAGTGGGGGCAAGGTTAGGAAGGGGGGTCTCATCCAAGATCCAAGAAGAAGGGGGGCTGCTGAGCCCATGGTCTGAGCTCTTGTTTCTGCTCTGCCCTTGGCAAATCACTGAACCTCTCTGTGCCTCAGTTGCCTTTTCTGCAAAGTGGATTTATAACAGGGTGCCTGCCTAGAAACCCTGGGGCTCCAGGGGTGGAGGTGATGAGGAAAAGGGGCGAACACCAGGCTTTCTCAGCGGTGGAAATCAGGTGCTGAGGAAGGGCAGAGGTAGGGAGACCTGGGAAGACCTGCTGGGCCTCCCTCTTGCCCAGACCCTGCTGAGGGGAGAGCAGAGGGAATTGGCCTGAGGCAGCCACACCAGGGGTGCTGGTGCAGGTGGGTGAGAAGCTTCATGTCACCTTCTGCACCCAGAGGTTGGCAGCTCAGCCCATCCTCCCCCCTGGCCTGCAGCCACTCCTTCCCATCTGGTTCACAATTGCCCCACCTTCTCAAACTCAGCCCTGGTCTCAAAGGCAGAAATCAAGAGTTAGCCTGCCTCCTCCAGTGGCCTAGGTGAACAGGAGGGGATCCACAGCAAGGCTCCAAGATTAGCCAGGGTACCCATGAGCCTCATTACATGAGAGGCTCCCTATTTAATTACAACAATAACAGCCCCGATGCTTCTATAGCTTATCATCCCCACTTCACAGATGAGAAAACTGAGGTCCAGAGAGGTTAAGTCACCTGCCAAAAGTCACACAGCTAGTGGGGAGTGGAACCAGGATATAGATCCAGGCCATCTGCCTCCAGTCCATGCTTTCTTCTATCTATCTGACACAAATCTCAACGCCCCAGAAATTCTGAACAGTTGAGGCCTTTGGATTTCTGAAATTTCCAGAAAAAATGTAAAGATTTATATTTTTCTTTTTAAATGACCCAAATGCTCGATTTGAACTCTCTAAAATGAAAATCTCTCCAAGATACCTCATCTATTTCCTGCTACCTTAAACATAGTATGCCACATAATTTAACCTTTTAAAGTGGTCATTTCAATGGTTTCCAACCATGAAGGCCATGCAAAGGAAATAGCTTCATTTGTCAGAGTTGTGTAAGAGCTGAAGCTCTGATCAAAGGCTGGTGGACGCTAAGCATGAGCTCAAAGTGAAGGCTGTAAGGCACCAACGTGGGCTGATAGGCTGATAGGTGGCTTTCCCGGCCAGCACCAGCTGTCATGGTTCTCTGGGAAGGGCAAGGCTGCTGACAGCCCAGTCCCAGGAGCAAAGAGCTCGCTCTGAGTTTCCGCCCTTCTCTTCCTTTTCTCTCCTCTCCCACCTGCCTCCTTCCTTCCTCCAAAGACTCCACTGACCCCCAAAGCCTCCCTCTGAGCTGCTGACCTCCTCAGTCCTTGGTCCTCCCCTCTCCCCCCCTCCCTAGTCTGCTGTCTCCCAGGCAAACTGCCAGCTGACGGCGCGTTCAGAACCGGCGCAAGCATGCACCCAGGGGGCCCCAGTACTGGATCCCCCAAACCCTGGTGACCTCCTAACCTGTCCCCTCCAACAATGTGTGTTCACTGACTCAGCTCTCTGAATGTGTCCTTGATGGTCCCCAGCTAGATGTGAGTTCCCGTGGGGCAAGAACCAGCTTGAAGGCCTAATCTAAGCCACACCTCCCCTAGGACCCCCACTCCCTACACCCTTCCCTTCCAGTGTTCCCTGAGTCCATATTCCATCCTCTGTGGTCTGAGATTCTTTCTCTTTTATGTCTGGGAGGCTTTCTCTCCAACCACATGGGGTGCTCTCTAGGGGCAGGGACATTTGCCTCCTCCTGTCTTCCTGTCCTTCCTCCACCCCCACCCCAATCCTCTAGTACATGCCTTCTCTCCTCCTCCGATCCCCATTCTTCAGGGCTTCCCTCTCCACTCCATCCCATTCTGACACCTGCCTTGAACTTCGGGCCCATGTTCCAAGTTCAAGTTCTGCAAGCTGCTTTATGTGGATGTTATGTCTGTTGTTGTTAAAGAGACAAGGAGCCTTTGAGGGAAGGCCTATAGATTGAATACCATCAGCATGGTTTGTGGCTGAGCCCCACCAGTCTCTGCCCCTCACCCCTCCACAGGGATCCTACACATTTTCTTACTCCGGCTGCCCCTGAGCTTTCACTGTGTTCCTTCATTCACAGATTATAGAGCGTCCAGATGGCGCAACCAGCAGGACTTTGGAGATCAATCTGGTGCAACCCAGCCTTCTGAGATATGGTGAAATGGAGCTCCAAAGACAGAACGTGACTCCCCCCAACCACACAGCAGCTCTTTGCAGAGCCAAGAATAGAGCCAACCCTAAGGGTAACCTTGGCCTGTCTGGGGAGCAGACAGCCTCTGGGGATTCAGGCATTTGCTGGTTTTCAGGCTCAACTCAAAGACAAAGGGCTGGAAGGAAGGTCCTCCCCAGGAACCAGTGCCTCCTGATATTTCAATGGCAGTACACAGGGGGAAGTGACCATAATGTGAAGAGGCCATGGCTAGAGAACACAGTTTTTTTTTTCATCCATGCCTCATGCAACACCATGGACACAGATGTGGTCTGGCTCCAGCCTACCCTCAGCCTGTTTCCCCCACCCCCAGGCTCATCTCATCCTTTGCAACACCTATGACTTTCTTCCTGCTGTTCCCCGGCCGGGAATGCCTGTCTTCCCATCTCTATGTGCTGAAGACCTCATCTGTCAGGGCCCCCCAAAGCCTTTCCTGACAACTCCAGCCCCAGGGTCATGAGCTCTCCCTTGTATGCAGCGTGGCTCTGTAGGCATCTGGGTTCACATCTCACCCCACCCATGCCCTGTACAGCAGAGTCGCTCATCCTGTGCCCCAAATACAGGGAGAATTGGGACAGTAGTGGGAGATCCCTCAGCCAGAGGGGAGGCTGCAGTGGCGACTGACCACGCCAGGTCTGACTAGGTAACAGGGTATGACCGTGAGGAACTAAAGCTGCTCAGAGACAGAGAGAAGGTATGAGAAGGAGTTCAGAGCTAGACGCATGGGGTGGTGCAGTGTGAGGTGTGGGGCAGGGCAAGGAACAGACGGAAGGCCTGACTTTAAGGCCAGTGGTGGGGGCTGTCATGTGTGTTGGTCAGAGCAGCAATGACCTGCAGTTGTGTGTGTATGCATGCACGTGTGCGTGTAGCAGGGTTTAGAGACTCTGAGCCCACAGACCAGAGATGCAAGGTGCTGACTATAGGGTGGCTGTGGGTCAGCCTGAAGGCAGTGGGGTGACAAAAGTAGTAGCACCTGTAGGTGTACCTCTCTCTCTGTTCTGGGCCTGGAACAGGCAACACTGGGACTGCTGGACCCCACTCCTTGCAGGTCGAATCTCACTGAAGTGGCGCTGGAAGGCTTGGACTGAGTGGGAGGAGGGCAGGAGAAGGGCAAGCTCCAGGGCCACAGCCCAGTAAGGGGACCCTCAGGGAGAGGTGGGCTAATAGACCCCCCCCCACTTCACCGATGGTGGGCCCAGGTGTCACTCAGGCATGGGCAGGGACCCCCACTATGCAGGACAACAAAGCTGAGAAGGAAGGGTCAGCTGAATGGAAAGTCAGCCCAGATGAGTTTGCTTCCAAGCCTAGGCTCTCAGCTGTTCAGGCTCTAAGCCTGTTCGGGGCCAGTCTGAGCGAAAGGGTTTGGACCAGCAGATCCCCAGGTCATTCCCAGGACGAACCTATATCCCACAGCCCTGGGATGTTCTACTGCAAGGGCTCTGTGCCACCCATTTGGAGACCAGTGGGATTCCCTGGCTAGGTGGGCTACTGGGGCAGATGTGGCCTCACTGGCAGGGTCACCCTTTTCATGGGGGCGGGGAAGACAGGACCTTGTTAGTGTTCCTGCCCCATCAAGCTGAGCTCTTGCAGGCCCATGGAATCCCTGAGGGTAGGCTTGTTTATCCAGCTCCTAGAGGTCTTTAAGCTCTGGAATGGGAGTCTTTATGAATCCCAACCTCCCTGGCCCACTGGCCTTGCCTGGCCCACCCTGTTCACACCAGGGCTTCTGGATGTGGCTTTCCAGGATCTCCTCCTTCCACTAGGCCTGCACTGGGGCACCCCACCCCCTCCCTGCTGTGGACTTCTGCCCTGGGAGCTCTGCCTGGCTCTCCTGGTCACCCAGAGGGTACAAATTCTGTCCATAAGGTCTCCCTATTTGCCAGCCATGAGCATTCCTACTTCTCCCCTTCCTCTCCCCTGGGAGAGGGGGGATTCTTGGACCCCAAGTCATCCAGGGTCCCAGCCACCTAACCTCCCACCACTGGGGTTTGCAGAGCTACCCACCAGAAGCCCACCTCCCTGCTTGGATTGGAGAGCGCCGCATCTCACAATCCTCCCATCTCCCCTCGCCCTCAACACAACACACAAACACGGTCATCTTTCCAACAAAACACCCAGCCAAAGGCCCAGGAGAGCAGCCTCTTTGGGAAGAGAAGGGGGCAGGGAGGGGCCTGGGAGCCCGGCTGGAAGACTCACCTTCTCTCTGTTGCTGGGGGATCATTGGAGGTGGCTGAGGAAAGGCCTGGCTTATCTGACCATAGGCAGCAGGGTAGGCGGCTGCTGGAGGGCCAAAGAGAAGAGGCAAGAGCAAGACACGATGACAGCGACATGGAGGGAAACAGGGTGAGAGGCAAGAAGAGAGAGACATTTCAGTGTTGAGCAGTAAAAGTAGGCCAGCCAAAAAGCGCATTTCAGCTCAGCCACTTAAGATAAAGCCAGCTTTCAGCAGTAAAGGAGCAGCGGCACCAGTGCAGCTTAGAAGTGTGTGCCTGTTTGTGAGTGTACAGGTGTGTGTGTGCGTGTGCGTGTGCGTGTGCGTGCGCGTGTGCGCGCTACCCAGCCCAGGGGTGGGAGTGAGAAGCCTGACTGACAGCTTGCCTTGGGCTTTCTACAGTGGCTGGTCCCCTTCCCATTCAGTGGCCCAAGGCCATTTGCTCCGCCCAGGGCTGCCTCTTGTCACCCCTCCTTTTTCCTACGTCTGGCTGCCTATCTTCCCTTGTTCTCTGTGGCCCTTGCTCCTGCCAACTCCCACTACCTGTGCATGGGTGGGGGTGGGGGGAGGTTGAATCTGTTTCCCTTCCAGCGTCTCTCCTTCCCTCAAACCCAGGCATCTAAGCTTCCAGGACCGGCAGCTGTGGACTGTGGTGGGCAGGACCCTGGCTCTGGCGTATCCCCAGTGTTGCTGTGTGGCTTGGCGCTCCTGGACAAACTGCCCTGGCAGGCCCATGGGGAAGGGAAATCTGGCCTCAGAGATTAGTAACTGCATGGAAAGGTCAATGCTTCAGCCTGTCTCACCAACTTCTCTGAAGTTCTGACCACCCACCACTGCAAGGGCACCCATGGGAAACTGCCAGAATGCTAGGGGGCCTGCAGAGAGGGAGGCAGCCCGAAGTAGGGATATCTGGGAGTATAGCCCTCCCTCCTTTCACCACAGCTCCCCCCACTCCCTCCCCACCACCACTTCTCCCTCCCACACAGTGCTGGGCCCAGGCCTGGGGTGGGGAGGGGCACTGGTGCCCAGACAGGAGTGGGGACATAAACAAATCAGCCATGGGCCCATGCGGATACTAACGACCTGCATACTGCTGCACTCCAGCGTAGGCCTGCTGCAGGGGGTCCGCGGCGGTGGGGCTCTGCGCTGCAGGGGAGCCAAGGGGGCAGAGGTCAGTGACGCCCACCCAAACCAGCCCTGCCCCCATCATGCCCATGCAGATGACACTGCTGCTGCATTGCCCTTCCCAGCCACTGTGGTGTCTGTCCTGGGGCAGGCCATCTGACTGGAACCCTGAGTGCCTGGACCCTGCTGGGGTTCCCCCTTCCCCAGTCCAGGGCCCTCAGTAGGGTGGAGGTTGCCCACCCTGGCTGGGGAATGTAGGCTGCAGCTGGCCTGGGGTGGAGTGAGATAGATGCTGCATGTAGAAGGCTGGGGAGGGCTGGGAAGGAGATGCCAGAGGAGGCTTTGCCATGACGGACCTGGCTCTGGAAAAGGGTTGTGGAAAAGTAAGCAAGAGGGAGAGAGGCTGTCAGGAGGGTGGTCTCATCTTCACTATCCCCAGCAGAAGTTGGGAGCAGAACCCAGCTGGGTAAAAGCAAGGGCACAGGAAGCCTCACCATGCCACTCTGTCCTCCTGGGCCACCCATGCCTGCTCAAACAGAGGGACCTTCTCCATTAGTCTTAGGGAGTTTGCACAAGGCATAGCTAAGACACCCTCAGTGGGACTGGCCACACAGATGAGGCCTGCCCATGGGCTGGGAGAGGAGTAGCGCCCACAGAAACTGAAGAACCGGCAGACCAAGGACCTTCCTCCAACCTGAATTCGTGACTCTCGGATGTCTACTGCCCCGTGCAAGAGGAGGGTCCTCATGCTGATGCTCTGGCAAGCAGCTAGGGGCAACTGGACTGTGAAAACGGCCGGTTCACTTCTGTTGCCTCTGCTCTATCTTCAGAGGCTGTGGGCCAAAGGCTGGTGCATGGGCCAGTGGTGGGCACTGCCTTTGGTGACCATGGCTAGTGGGAGTGGACTGGCCTCGGAGGCCCACCCAGGGAGGTGGGTGGAGACAGATCTAGCTGCAGTATGTTTAGGGCAAACTGGATGACATGGGGAGGCAGAAAGAAAACCATCTGGGCTTAACTGCCCAGTGACCTAGCCAAGCTAACTGGCAGTACCAGACTTAGGGGCCTTATAGACCAGGAAATATTCCCAAACTTCTTTTCTGAGCTCTTGTTTCTGAGCCTCATAACATCCCACTAGAACAATAGCACCTAGGCCTCAGGGGAGCCAAGGGAAATCCTGGGGCAGAGATGCTTAAAGACAGTGCAGACGGCAGCAGGGGAGCTGGGCCAGGGCACTGATCAGAGGGGTGGCTGAAAATGGGTCAGGATGCAGGCCCTTCCCTGACCTTATCTTATCCTATCCCTCTTTCCCCCACGGTGGAGACTGGAGCCAGGAGCTGCCAGTGCTGAGGTGGTGGTGGTAGTGCTAGGTGGGGGTGTCCTCTCCTCCCCCCTGCTGCTCCCCCCCCAACTATCCACCAGCCTCCGCTCTCTGGATGGAAACCCACATCCAGCTTGTGCTCTTGGTCTCCCGAGCTTTTATACAAATTAAAGAAAAAGTTGTCTCAAAAAAAGAAAAAAAAAAGAAAAAGTTGTCTCTATCTCTGGGCAGTTTGATGCCCTGTGTAAAACAAAACCTGCACAACTTACGTGACACCCCCCACCCTGCACACACACAGTGCCAGAATCATAGCAAGTGCTCAGCAAAGACTATGACACAGAAAAAATGGGTGGTTCTTAACATTTATAGAGCCACCCCTTCCAGGGTGTTATGTGGCAGTAAAGGCCACACTGTGTGCTTCCAACATGATCTCAATGAACAAGAGGGGAGAGCAGGGAGGCTACCTGGGCCTAGGAAGTGGAGGAAAGCATTTCTGAGACCCCTCTCTACTTCTCTGCTTAATGACCTCATTAGTAACTGCCAAAGAATGAACATTTTGAAGGATCTCGCTCATTACAACGACTCCAAACTCCGCATTTAAAGATGGTAAATTAATTTTTTTAATGTACTACTTTTCTCCTTTCCTTCCCTCCATCCCTCCCTCCTGCTCTGGCAGGGAATTGTTTATGAGATGTGGCAGATTGTTACAAATGGGGGAGAGAAACATTTCCAAAGTCCATGAGGGAAATAGCTCACAGATGCTGGTGGGGGTGGGGAAAGAACAGGTTTGTCAAAATCCAGAGCTCCAGATGGGCTTGTGGGCATGGAGGAGGGGGGAAATGTAACCACCCAGATGTGCTGGGGACTGTATCTCCCAGCCCATGAGCCTGAGGCAGGAGGAGCCCAGGAACCTGAGATTGGTGGGCTCTCTCCCACCTCCAGCTTGCCAAACCCCTGCCCTGCCTCCCTTGCCAGCCTGGAGTTTTCGTCCTGAAAGAACACTCCAGACCCTCTGGGCCCTGTAGCATCTCTCTCTAGGCATCTCTGGCATCTCTGCTCTGTGCACTGAGAAGTGAGCTGAGGGGCATGCACTAAAACAAGACCAAGGACAACTCCAAGTTCAGTCAGGACATTCTCCCGTTTTTCTCTAGCACAGTGACCTTATACTCTGCTGCTGCTGCTGGAACTTATATATTCTTGGGATGTTCAGGCCTCACTCTAGACACTGAACTCATAATCTCTGGGCTTCTGTGGCTTTACAAAGCCACACGGTGGATTATGATGGGCAGCCAGAGTGGGTAGCGTTACTCTGCCACCCACTACTGACCCACCCCAGGCTGACCTCCTCTGCCCTAGTTGGGCCAACCTCACCATCCCTGGCCCACCAGGCAGGCTTCCTCCTCCCTTGGGCCTCCAGGACAGCCCCTCCACAGGTGTGCCCCTTGTTCTTCTCCTCTCCAGTTCCTCCTACCTATTGTCAAAGTCCTATCTGAGCCTCCTGTCAGGGCAGCTCTGTTGAGCTTCTTCAGTTTACAGACCTCTCCCTTCATTTGAATCCTTTAGAGCCTCACATTGGAGAACACACACTCTTGATCAGACTCCATTCTGCTTATTATTTCAACATTCTGCCTATATACATTGTGTTCCCGACTGGAATGTGACCTTCCAGGAGTAGACCTACATCCTGCCCTCCTTCTGAGGCCCCCCTTTCATCCAGCACAGATTGGGCACTTACTAGTATTTATGGGGACTCTGTGACCTTGTCATCTGCCCTCTGGGAAAGGGAGCACTCCTCACATCTCTGAGACACTGCCCCTTGCTAGTCTACTCCAGGGCATGGGGCTCAGCTCTGCTGCTCTGTCCATCATCCAGACCAGAGACAGGAGCTCAATCAAGTCAACTGGCCAGTCCCACCGTGAAAGAAATGCTAAGTCTGAGAGGAGCAAGGTTAGTCAGGAACGGGCTCCTGGATCTTCTGTGAACCGGAATTCATGAAAGCAGGGTTGGGGAGCTGTCCAAGGTCCTGATCCTCTGTGCGAGGTGCTGACCAGGATTTTGAGTGCACCGGTATGTACTGGCCAAAATGTCAATCTATGTATCTCTCCTTCCTTCCTCAAAGAGTCTTTTCCTACTTAACATTAAATACAATTATTCTTTTAGCTTCTATCTCCTTAGTTATTATAGGTCAAATTCACTCTCAATTAATTTGCAGTTACTAGCCTCTTTACCTGGTTGTACAATTACATCTACTCTCTTTTCCCCCCTGAAGGAACCCCAGCAATGTAGTTCTTTGCCACCTCTCAGACTGACGCCTCCCCAAGGAAAGGAATTTGGTTCCTCCCACCAGAGGTTCCCTGAGGGAAGGCAGGAGGCTGTTCTCCCTGATCATATTTGGGGTTCCACCAAGGAATGGGCAAAGGGCAGGAGCCACACATTCCCTGCTGTAACAGTAAGGGCAGGGACAGAGTGGATGAGGGGAGTGCTGCTAGGGTAAGGAAGGGCTGCCAGATGTGCTTACCTGGGTAGGGGTGAATGCCGTTGGCAAAAACGGCTTCCGCAGCAGGCTGCCCATTGGCCTGTGGGGGGAGGCCGGTGAAGCCGTTCACCCCAATGGGGGACGGGATGCTAGGCACAGCTGGTGCAGTGATGCCCGGAGGGGTGCTGCCACCTGGTTTCAGAGGTGGAGAGGGGAGGGGGAGGACAGGAGGCAAGCAGAACAAAGGTGAGGAAAGGCCAACCAATGGAACTCCACCTCCTGGCTCCATGGGCCTGGGCATAGAATTAGAACTCACATACCTACTCAATCCTATCTGTGAATCATGCCTTGGATTATCTCCATGTGTGGAGTGGTTCCATTCATCCCACTTGTACCACCCTTCCAGGCAGAGTCCAAATCCCACCTTCCCCGCGAAGACTTCCCTGACCACTAACCACTCAATTTTGGGACTACAGTACGTAGCCTATTCTCAGTGCCCTTGACTTTGATCACACTTGGTCTTCCTTTAGTTTTTTTCAGTGGTTCTTGCTCACCCCAGCTAAGTCAGGATGGGCTAGTCTTTGTTTAGCCACCATGGGGCTTCTAAAATGCTGGCTCTGCTCTCTTGTCTGGATCACCAAGGGGCTGACCTGCCTCCCCAGGAAGGAGTTTTTCTACTTGGGTGGAGGAGGTCTTAATTCTGGAGTCCCCCTGCAATGAGGGAGAGAGGACTTTGCAGAGTCCAGACTCAGCCCTATGCATACACAGTAAACACCTTGGCTTCCTTCAGTTGAGATAATGGTGGCGAGAATAAGGTTGGGGTCAGAGGACAATACGCTGTGCCCTCTCTATGCCAGGTGAGTGGAACCCAAGGTGTGGCTGGCATGGTGATTGTACAGAGACCTCAAAGCTGGAAAGGGTCTTCCTCTTCATGTAGGAAACAAGATCTCTCTATGGACAAGGACCTGAGGCTTGCCTGGGCTCAGGAGTAGCCTTAAGTTGGGGATCAGAACTGTGGGGTAGTACTCAAGTTGGGCCTAGAGATGGCAAGTCTCTTATGGATTTTATCTGGAAAAGGAATAGCTCCTGGGTGTAAGGAAGGCTGCTGCTATGACCTGGGTGCAAAGAGTCAAGGAAGCTTGGTGAATGAAAGCCTGAGCTGTTGGGTCAGCCTTTGGGACTAGACAAGGTTTTCTAAACTTTGACAACATTTGTGGTCAGACATTTCCTTGTCATGGGGGCTGTTCTGTGCATTGTTGGATGTTCAGCAGCATCCCTGGCCTCTACCTACTAAACTAGAGTATCACTCCCCTCCTCAAGTTGTGACAACCAGTAAGGTCTCAGGGCATTGCCAGATATCCTTGGAGTGGGGAAAGAGTAGGCATGAAATTATTGCCCCAGTTGAGAATCGCTGAACTGGATAATAACTAAGATCCAATTAAAAACACACTTTGTGAGCAGGGCTGTTTCCAACCCCCTCATCCTTTAATAACTCTGTGGTTCACTCTTGCTTGTTGTGTAGTTCTCTTGGAAAAAGTCAGTGAGTCTATGCTGGGTTAAAGGGAAATTTAAAAATTGACTCCTTCTATGCTTGAGCTGGGGACCAAACAAGGCCACAGAATGGCAGGGCTCTTCTCCCCTCAGACCTCAATGGGAGATGTGTTCATGTCAATTTCTTTCCAAAACAACTTGAGTGAAATTCCCACCACCCTGAAATCATATAATGGACTTCATGGGGCCCACATCCCATCTTCCCTTAGTCCCCTGGGATTAGAACATTTTTGAGACAAATTGCCAAAATGAGGACTGCTTGGGCCCAGATGCCATGTGCTGTTTGCCACAGGATGGTACACTGTAGCCCAAATAGGCAAAACTAAAGGTCTGGACCTGAGTTCAGCTGCTCTGCTGGGCAAGGCCCTGTGTTGTACCTGGCGGCTCACCTGAGGTTGGGGTCATGGGTGCGGCTGCCAAGCCGTTCATGTTGAGGGCTGCCATCTGCTGCATCTGGGCGGCGGCGAAGGCAGCCATAGGGTTCAGGTAGCCACCCTGTGCGACTGATGCCATTAGTGCCGCTTGCTGCTGCATCAGCTGGGGCAGAGGGAGTGGAAAAAATATCATGCGCTTCCAGGGGGGCAACCCTCCCCACCAGGGGGCTCAGCTCCTGGACACCAGCTTCCCAGACCCTGAACCCCAGGGGAGCTCAGACACATCTCCCCACCCCACCCCCAGAAAACCCTGATGTCTCCCTCATTCCTGCCCTAGTTCTCAATGACTATTAGAAACCAGCCCCAAAGAGGAACTATCCAAAAACTGGGCACTCTAAAGTTGTTGTAAGGGGTGGGGGAAGGGACTGCCCCCCTGGGAGTTGTTCAGCCTTGTGAAGGCCTGCCATTCATGGAGATGTGACACCCAAAGTTCTAGAGACATGTTGGATGAGCCTCTGTAGAATTAGCATGGATTTCTATCCAAGTGTTCACACAAAGGTGAGTGGGGACTGAGGAGATTGTTAAAATTGGTCAGATTTGAACATTGCTGAAGGAGTAAGGATGTGAGCTTGCATTTTTAGAATCAGACCCTGGACTACCTCAGGGCCACCCATGTGGGGTTTTGGCTACAGGTCTGGGAGGCAGCTTAGGGGAGAGGCTGGCAGAGAAGGCCCCAAAGCAGAAGAAAGAAGTTAGTGGGCCAGAGGCCTGAAGGGACTGAAGCAGAAGTATTGGTGTGATGGGCTTTGGGGAACCTCACAAGACCCCTGCCAGGAGTGCTCAGAGGCCTGAGCACACCCTTCCATGAATGGAGGCAGGGGTGGGGTAATGACAGCCAAACACCCGACCCTCTCTCCCCACTTCCAATTGGTGCTTCCTAGAATTTGACTAGCAGGTGAGCATTCAGGGCAACCCACCTTGCTGCCCTGCCTAGAAGCCTTCTCTCCAGCTCCTCCTCTTAAGGAGGACAGCAAACCACCTCTTCCTGGCAGCCACCCTGGACTGAACCAGACTTCTCTCAACCCCCTCTGGCTTCTACTCCCTGGGTTCATTCCTGACCACTCCTCACTCCCCAGGGCTGGAGCAGTATTTTCCAGGCCAGAAACAGGGCTCCCCTCAGCAAAGTTAGGTGCCCCTGCTCTGGGGCTCTGAACAGTGTTAGCTGAGAATCGCTGCCCACACCCTCCCCACCCCCGTCTGCGTCCCCACTTACTGCCTGTGCGTAGGCGCCGTAGGCTCCGAACGGGATGGCCATGGGGTTGAACATGCCCATCTGGCCAGCCATCTGCTGCATTCGCCGCATCGTGCGCTCCTTGTCAGTGTCCGCGAACTTGACCACCAGACTGGATGAGGCTCCCTGCAGCCGGGACGGCGCGTGAGGCCCACCTGCCCTAGCTGCCTGGGCTCGGAGCTGGCCAGCTGTCCGCGCCCCCGACTTAGGCCCTCCCTCTCCTCTGGCGAGGCGCTGCTGGGGGCTGGGGGCTGCGCGCCACCGGTGCACGCCCAGGGGTGCGGGGTCTTAAAAGGACTGCGGGCATTTTCTATCTGGGAGACCGAGAGCCAGTTCCTTACATCTCTGGGCCTCAGTGTCCTTGTCTGAAAAGTGGGAGAGTGGTAATGCCTTCCTGTCTCATGGGGAGGCAGTGAGCGCGGCCCGTGCGTTGCACGGTATGGACCAAGTGCACGGGTGCGCAGGGGCCCTGCGGGTGCTCTGGGCTGGGCGGGTACCGTCTGGCCGCTGGCCGCGTTCCAGCCCCACCCAGGGGCGGCCGAACTCACCGGCATGGTCTGGCTGCCGTGCAGCGCGTTGATGGCGGCTTGCGCCTCCGCGTGGGAAGAGTACTTGACAAAGGCGCACCCTGGGGGGACAGGAGAGGCTGAGCCAGGGCCCGAGCGCCCGGGGAAAGCCAGAGCAGAGACTGAGGGGCGGGGCAAGGGAAGGCCCAGGGCCGAGGGCGCATCCACGAAGAAAGTGAGATACGAAGACTGAGAAAAGGAGAGCCACGGAGAAACACACAGGGAGAGAAAGACCCGGTCCCACCGCCTCGTCCCTGCCAAGCACCCCTCCCAGGCTCGAGGATCCCGTCCAGCTCCGGGCGGCTTCGAACTCGGCCGCACCCCG